GCCCATCTGGCAAGAGACTGGACAAAAGCTACATGTGAAAACAGTGTTGAAATAAAAGGATCAGTACATCGGATTGAGATCGCCTGAGAAGGGTGGATGAGAGGGGAAGAGGCAGAGGAGAAGTCAATAAGAGCGGGCACAGAAGTAGCAACCACAGCTGCACTGGCCAAAGTGGTGCCACCAAGAGGATGTGATAGAGTGGTTTGAATGATGGAGAGGACATGATGAAGAAGATAGTTGGGGGATAGGCACAGAAGTAAAGATCCCCAATCCTGACTGAGGGCATTAACAGCTAAAGGATGTGGTATTGGGGATCAAAATCTGGGAAGCTTGGAATTCAGATGGGCGGCAAATGCACCCAGTTCTGGAGTGCCCCACTGGGAACACAGCCAGCTGAACACCTGTGGGTCGAGAATCTTGTCAAGGCAATATAAATGATTTGCAACCAGATTCAGGGCACCTGATATATGACACTCCAACAAGCAAATGTGTTGGCCGTGGACCCAAAACAGGAAATCCAAAGTGTGTAAACAAAGAGACCTTGACTGAGTGCCCTCTTGCTGAGTGATGTATGAGAACTGTTGAGTTGTTAGAATTGATCATAGCCAAATGGTTGCATGGAGATGGAAGGAAGTGAGCCAAAACCCGATGGACAGCAAGTAGTTCTATGAGATTGATATGAAGAGATGACTCATCAACAGACCAACAGCCTTAAATCTCCTTGCATGTTCTATGACCCAACTCAAAAGAGAAGCATCCATGAGGAGGTACACCTCCATATGAGGAGGAAGAAGTGGAACACCCACTGTGGTGTTGAACCCCAATACTTGACAAGGGGAAAAAACAAGACTTTGGTCCAAAGATGTCTCACTTCAAAGGGAAGGAGAGAGTCAAAAGAAAATGGGGGACAAAGACAAAATGTAACATACCTGGTTTATTGATTCCAAGGAAGGAGAAGGTGAGCTGGGCACTTCCACTAGAGCTAAATGCGACTGTGGCATAGGAAGGGGGAGGAAAAATGCTGTCGAAATGTTCATCCTCTTTTTTCAGGTATCCCTGTACAATGGCATGAGAGAATAATTCTCAGGTGTATCAGGAGCCCACATAAAGGTTGCCAACTCGTGGCGAAGCAGGCCATAATACCATCTGCTGACAATTGTGGACCCAAAGCCACTGTAGTCAAAGTATGGTTAACGGTAGTAGTAGTAGTATTTGAATGTGAAACTCAGAATTAATTTCAACTAAGATGAGAAGTAGAAAAGTTCAAACAGGGAGCTCTAAAGACATGTAATGCGAACGTGTACCAACTTAAATTTCAGAACACAAATGTAGGAAACATAAACAAAACTAAGTTCTTATAAACAAACAAAAACTGATTGAAAATCACATAAAGTAAAGTGAAAAACATGTCTTAACACCATGACTGCCAAGCAAAAAGAGTTAAGCTGCACAGAGAGTCAGCAGTACTACGAGTTGGGTCACACTCCTATCTGTGGAGGTTTGTCCCATGCTTATTTGCATGCTATCATATACCGTATTTTTCGGTGCATAAGACACACTTTTTTTAATCCAAAATGTGATGTCAAAATCTGCTTGCGTCCT